GTAACAGGAAAACATCTGGATTAACATGTGGAGTTGGATGATGTTTGAGTGTCACAGTGCTTTGTACATATGCAGGTTCATGAAATATCATCTGGTAGCATATCCTGTATGGGCGGGTATATCTCCTGGGTCCTGATCTACCAAGCATTACAAGCTATCGTACGTATATAGTTTATCATAGGATTGCCGAATGATGTAGCGCTGTGAACACTTTGTGGATCAGGGTGCCATTGTAGAAAGCAATGTTAGCGCTAAGTTGACTGTAACTCCCATACCTCAACATAGACTTAAGGTAGTCTTAGTGCTGAGGTTGTTTTGTACAACGGCACCCAGGTCCCTGGTAGCATATCCTCAGCTAAAAGAGGCGGTAGCCTAGTGGTTAAAGCATTCGCTCGTCTAGCTAAAGATGCGGGTTCGATTCCCCACATGGGTACGATGTGTGAAGCCCATTTCTGGTGTCCCCCGCTGTGATATTGCTGGAATATTGTCAAAATTAAAGTAAAACTCACTCACTCTCTCAACTAAAACACAGGGTTGCCAAATGCGATTCTAGATTGTATGGATGGTTACAAGGTGATATAGATGGTAGGTGCTGAGTGTATCAATGTTTTATCATGTTGAATTGGTAGATGGTTGACAAATGTTCCCACACAGACACTACCGAGGGCCACAACTCATGCCCTTGAACACACCACAGACAGCATAAACAGTGAGTGAGGATGATTTTATGCTGCTGTTAGCAATATTCCAGCAATATTACGGGCGAGGGACACCAGAAATGGGTCTCAGATTTTCTATCGAATCCATGTCTTGAGCGTGAAGAGCAGACACTTTAATCATTAGGGTGCCCATCCCAGTACAAACAGAATTATTGTAAGTTCAACTGATACTCACTCTCTTCACCATACTGTCCGCTTCCGCAGCAGCTCCGGCCTCGAGGATGGTGTGTCGTACAACCTGGATCATCGGGGACCCATCTGAACAGACCAATGTCAAGGTCAATAGAAGAAGCAGATAAATCCTGACAGCTGGATTAGCTCATCTCTCACAATCACCAGGCAATGATGGTTAGGTTTATGTTCCACTGGTTTGAGTGTTTATTCCCTTTCTTGTCTAACATTTTGGTCACACTAACTAACTGCCTCAGAAAAGTAACTAAACTCTTTATTGTCTCCACCACAACCTTACTCAATATCTTTTGTTGTTACACTCCAGTGCAAAGTTTCAGCTTATATATATAAGTCTGGACCAATCAATCCAGTAAATAATATCATGGGCAAAACCTCATGTTATCATGGTACGATAACCAAACCACCGACTCTGATGACCTATGTAGTCTGTCAGGTATGCTGACTTGCCAAAGCCTGGCACTGTATCCAATTTGTATAGATTCATGGTCATGATGTCAATCACTGGATCGTCAAGTTCATAGTAGATTATTCAAACACTAACATCATAAGGAAGGATAACAATATATAGATGAACAGCTTCTTTGTTACAATGATAGTGATGTTTTGGTGTAGGTGAGGTGAGGTGAGGTGAAATTGGGTTTAACGTCATGCTGGAGAATATTTCGCTCATATGACGACGTGCATGCATGTGTATGTGTATGTGCGGCTGTTTGTACTAGCCCAGACTTAAGCTGGTTTTATAGTGCTAGCCCACTGAGATACCATGTCGCAGTGAAGCATGAATACCCCACTCAGACACATTATACTGACTCCGAGCCGACCAGTCCTTGTTGTACCCATTAATGCCGAGCGCCAGACAGGGACCAACAAGTACCATATTTTAACGTCTTTTGGTATGACGCAGTCGCGGATTTTTGGTGTAGGATTTAACACTGTTATCAAGCAAGTGATCAAGCAAGTCAATGTGCAGTCATCACTTGTATAATAACGGTGTTAGAACCTACACTCACATCTCACTGTAATAAAGACGTTGTTCATCCATATATTGTTATCCTTCCTTGCTACTCTAACTTATAAATGCCTCTCAAAGAAGTTGCTGACATCATAAGGCTGGAATATTGAAGGGATAAACAAACAGATAAATGTTACGGACAGCTGATACTGGGGACAATTCTATCCCTGAATTATCAAAGAGCCTATTTATCAGTCCCTGCAATATCTGTCCCCTCTGAATCACTCACCTGCCCCTCCTCGGAGAGAGAGCGGCCACACCCCAACAACAGCCAGCACAGGCTCCACGTAGCTCAGATAGCCGTTGGTCAGCAGCTTGAAGATGAAGACTCTCACCTGCTCAAGGTCTCCTGAAGGTGGACATACATTGTAGCATTTTTCAGAAAAAAATCTTGCTTGACAATGACATCAGAATCTATGTCAAAACGTCGCCTATACAGAATAAAAGTTGTATATCCATAAAAATAGTCGTCATTCTCTAAAAATCTAGTAATCTGATTAGCCAGTCGGCTTGTCAGTGTGTATAGACATTGTTGCATCATAGTTTTCACATGGAGTTGGAGGTGAGGTGAAATTGGATTTAACGTCGTACTTGAGAATATTTTGCTCATATGACGACGTACATGCATGCATGTGTATGTGTATGTGCGGCTGCTTGTACTAGCCCAGTCTTAAGCTGGTTTTATAGTGCTAGCCCACTCAGATACCATGCCACAGTGAAGCATGAATACCCCACTCAGACACAGTATACTGACTCTGAGCCTACCAGTCCTTGCTGTACCCATTAATGCCGAGCGCCAGGCAGGGACCAACAAGTACCATATTTTAACGTCTCTTGGTATGAGACGCGGATTGAACCCGCAACCTTCCGCTCTCTGGGCGGACACGAGTTGGATCATCATTGCTGTCACCAGTGTGCAAGCATCCAATAATGTTGTAAACATTCACTCAAACCCTAAATATGATGACATTAAAGTTTGCCCTTGTGTTTCCGGAAAGCCATTTACTTCGGAAATGTTTAGGTTTATGGATATTGTTACATCAGATTACATCAAGAATGGGTGAGTACCGGAAAATCACCAAACTTCACCCAGCATTTTCACAACACTAATTTACATATCTGAACTGAAATGGAAATTTAAAAACAGAATGGTCAGTCTGTTGTGATTTCAACTCCATGCAGGGCTGTGGCCACTTTGTCCAGTCGGGACCTGTGACTGTTGCCATCAATAGCTAAGAGAGTTCTGTGAATAGGCTATCACTGAGAGGAGCTTGCAATTCAATATATTTTTTTTTAAAAATCAAAGGATTATCTCTCCTTGATCAGGCTGATTGTGAGTGAGTGAGTATGGTCTTACATCGCTTTTAGCAATATTCCAGCAATATCCTGGCCAAAGAAACCAAAAATGGACTTCACACATTGTACCCAGGTCGAAAATCAAAACCAGGTTTATGGCATGACCAGCAAACGCTCTCACCACTAGGCCACCCTACTGCCCCTGAGCAGGTTGACATTGCACCTGTCTTGCAGGACACAGCTGTTCTTTGTTTCCTGTTAACTCGACAACTCAATAATTGTTGAGTCAGCTTATTTTGGTTTGGCCACTTTGACTGATACAACCTGACTGTTTATAGGTGGATGAAAGCCAAAAGTGATGCATTTCACATTGATTAAAATCAAAGAATTATAACCAGACAAAAACCAATTTTGAATCCAGAACCTGGATGGTGCGCAGGTAAGGGATATGAGTTACCGGGTCAAAATTTCTAGAATATGGCCTGCAAAAAGTTAATAAATATAATACTTTCAAATTGTGAGCCCATTTTTTTACGAGAGTGAACATGCCAAGGCTATTATGATGAACATCAGGTGTAAATGTTCTAAGTTATGTTCCTACCTTCATATCGGCAGAGAGCTGTGAACATCCGACTGAAACAGAGAGATCACATTCATAGGTAATCTTATTAAAACAGATCATATATTCACTATTTATACCTCCCTCCATTAAGACTTAACCACATATGTACCTTGAGAATACTGAGCTAACGCTGAGAGTAATGGATGCATGTGCTCTTGATCCAAGTTTCACTGTCAACTTCACTGTCAACTGTCAGCCTTGGACAATACTCTTTGGGCAGTTTTACAGATGTTTGGTTTGGAGAAATATTATGTCAGATGTTGGAGAAGGCACAGAAGTTGACTCAGTGAGACTGAAACAGGTTGTTTAATGCCATACTTAGCAATATTCCAGCTATATGGTGGTGGTCTATAAATAATCAAATCTGGACCAGACAATCCAGTGACTGACATCATGAGCATCAATCTGCGCAACTGGGATACGATGACATACATCAACCAAGCCAGTGCGTCTGACCACCCTGGCAACTAAACATATAAAATACAACCAAGCCAGTGCGGCTGACCACCCTGGCAACTAAACATATAAAATACAACCAAGCCAGTGCGGCTGACCACCCTGGCAACTAAACATATAAAATACAACCAAGCCAGTGCGGCTGACCACCCTGGCAACTAAACATATAAAATACAACCAAGCCAGTGCGCGCTGACCACCCTGGCAACTAAACATATAAAATACAACCAAGCCAGTGCGGCTGACCACCCTGGCAACTAAACATATAAAATACAACCAAGCCAGTGCGTCTGACCACCCTGGCAACTAAACATATAAAATACAACCAAGCCAGTGCGGCTGACCACCCTGGCAACTAAACATATAAAATACAACCAAGCCAGTGCGTCTGACCACCCTGGCAACTAAACATATAAAATACAACCAAGCCAGTGCGGCTGACCACCCTGGCAACTAAACATATAAAATACAACCAAGATCAGTTCTCACACCTAACGACTGATCTAACAATGGCCGGATGTTGCCTACAACATTTAACTGCAGATTCTGGTCCTGGACTATCAAAATAAACATATCTAGTGGTGAACATATAACAAAATACGATATCTACAGATAAGCCTAGGTTTCATTTCAGTAAGAGATCTTAGTGCTGTGGTTCTTCTACTTCAAACCCGACTTTGAGGAAGTACATAGAGGACTGACCAGAGAGCCAGACGTCCGGGGAGTGTGACACACGGCAGGAAGATGGAGTTCCACAGCAGCTCCATCAGCTGGTAGCGTGGGCACTCCTGCTGCAGGGAGAGACATCATCATCATCATCATCATCATCATCAATAATCCCTAAGTTTAGACACATAGTTTCTTTGAGTGGCATTATTTAGAAGATGGAGAGTAATATACAGACAAACTTTATGGATAAACAACTTCTTTATTCGGTAGATGCAACGGTTCGATACAGATTCTTGTATCGTGGTCAGCAACTTGCTGGACAATGATACAAGAATCTGTATCGAAATGTCGCATCTACTGAATAAAGAAGTTGTTTATCCATAAAGTTTGTCTGTATATTTAGACACATAGACTACACACCTAAAGCAGTCCAACTAGGGCAGTAGAATGTTATTGTGACTGTGATACCTTTCAACAGTTACCAATTGCACTGATAAGCATGTAGAGATCAATCAGGGAAAACTTCATGTAAGGATTTTGTCTGACAGATTCATCTCAGCATCATGAATTGCTGCAAAACACAAACAAACAAGCAAAAATAATGAACACAAGTTACCGTATACTTCTCCAGTACAGCTGTGATGAGCTCAAGTATGCGTGTCTCTGTGTCTGTCATGAACGGCCCCTGTACGTCAGAGCCTGCGATGCATGCTGCGTACACCAGAGGGAGCTGGTCACTCGCCTGCAGCTCGTCTGAGCAGACATAACTATTAACCAGGTCTAGATTTTGAAGCTCTCTTAGCTAAGACAGTCGTGAAGTTAATGTTATTGTATGGACATAACGAAAATCTAACCAGAAGTATATGTACATATCCAGTAGGGGTGACTATTGAGGGAGAAACAACTGTTGCGATAGCGATAGCCTATTGCGACCAGCTATTGCAATACAATTGCAATAGTTTTTTCTCTCCTTCAATTGTCTCATTTGAAGTCATTTTCCAAATGAATGTATAGTTTATATGAAATACTAACAAGTTGAAGTAGTTTCAGTCTCTTTTAATAACTAAGATCCAAGAAACCAAGATCCAGTTTGTTTAGGAGGTAACAGGGGCAGATGACTCTAAATCAAAGTGAACGAATCTGGTACTTCCTGTATTTTGCGCTGCGCATTTATCAATGGAAGTCAATTACTAAACTATCGTTAGTCACACATACTATCGATGCATCGATAGTTTTTCGTTTCTACCATCGATTAATTGCTATCAGAGACTCAACAATTACAATCCATCGATAGTTCGATGCACTGTTACGGCCCTAATAACCACTCCACTCCGCCTAATGGTTAAAGCATTCACTCGTCACAAGACCCAAGTTCATTCCCCACATGGATTCTATGTGCAAGGCCCACCTTTTAGCTTTTAGCTTCATATTCCTGGGTACACCAGAAATGAGTTTCACATATTGTATCCATGTGGGGAATCAAACCTGGGCCTTTGGCATGACAAGTAAACCACTATGCTATCCCAGCAACCCCTGAACCAATAAAGATCAAGTCTGGCAATAAATGGCAAGAAGAGACCCATCCAAACATAGCATGTCAACAACACACCAACAGATACAGAATTCAGGTGCAAAAATAACTAAAGCTAAAATATAATAATTAAAATTATTACATGTTAACGTAAAATATTTTTTTCCAATTTGAACTCACCTTGACAACAGCCCTGAAGATCTCCATGGCAACATCTGTCGTGAACTGTTTGCCGATGACACTTTCGCAGAAGGAAGCTGGTGTGGCATCTGTTGACTGGAGATAGTTCTCTAGGGCCCTTTCTGCCCCTGTAACTGTGGTAACAAGCCAATGTTACAGCAAGAATAACATGGTACACAATGAAATAAAATAAAATAAATTAAGAAAAATAATTAAAATAAATAAATAAATAAATAAATAAATAAATAAATAAATAAATAAATAAATAAAAAAAAAATAAAAAAAAATAAATAATAATAAATAAATAATCACTTATTCAATCAATCAATAAACATAATTTATTCTCAATGTCAAAATACACATGAATTATTAATAATGAATTTAAGACAAGTGGTACACCCACATCTCTCATGATAAAGTCATCTTCCCAGGTGACACCATATCTCATGCCTGTTGGCACGGTGCTGACTAACTAAACACCATTACAGTTTGTGTGGTATCTGTCTGATGGTTAACAATGTTGTAGCAATAGAATTAATGCAGCATGAATCTAAAGTGTTGAATATGAACTCACCTGAAGCTGGTGGAAGGTTCTGGGTCTGGGTCTTCATTACCTGGAACCAACATAACTAACATGTAATTTAAATTACTTGTGGAAAACAATCAGTCTATATTCTCAGCAAATCAGGATTACCATGGTTACTGGAAGAAATAATTTTCCTCAGATTGAACCAACTAGGGGCATGCTCAAAGCATATAATACACAGTCAATGGATTTTTTAAAAAACATTTTGGTAGAATACAATCCCATCTCATCCTACCAGGTACCCAGTTACTGCTGGGTGAACATTTTGATCAAAGCCAGCAACAATTGTGACTGCTCAATCTGATTTCCCCCAAAATGAAATTTTTAGAGTAAAATCAATATTTTATACTTATCCTGACTCATGCTTATTGCTTGTCTTCTTCTTCTTGCGAACATAGTGGAACACGTGTATCTCCCAATTGAAGTTCCCTTCAATAAAAAATCGCTAATTAGTACTCACCACGAGTTACCTCCCTTCCACAAGCGCGTGAACGAGGGCGCCACCTCAACCCATGTGCCTCACTCTCTCCTTTTGTTTCGAGCCCGACACTTTATTTTTCCGAAGAAATCCAAAGTGTTAAGTGGGGAGGACGGAGGGAGATTCACCTCATGAGTCAGGATAAGTATAAAATATTAATTTTACTCTAAAAATTTCATATTTTTCCTTATCCTGACTCATGCTTATTGCTTGTAGAATCCGACGGAAAAGGAGGTGGGAATATATATACTTTGGATTTTAATAATTAGTGATTTGAACTGTGATGATTGTAATAACCCTATGGGAACTTCATAAAGGCACTGAACTGATGAATTCCTGCTGCTTAACTTATCAGCTGCCATATAAAGGTTATTACAATTTACTGAATATGATAAAAGTATATACAACATTAATGTAAGCTGAAGCTATTAATGTGATAGTATAAACTTCTGTGAGTTTATAGTGGATACTTTTATAAATGAACCCAAAGTATTAAGCTTAAGATATGCATATATTTAAGCTATAATAGTATAGTACTGTGCTTAAGATATAATTATAACTTAAGCTGTATAATAGTAAACAACTCCTTAGAGTTTGTTAGCTAATACATTTATGAATATGACCATATGACTGAGCTTAAGGATTGATGAAACTTAAGCTGAACATATATATAATAGCAAAACTCCTAGGAGTTGTAAGCTTATATATATAGTATGATATAAAAAACCATAGTACTGAGCTTAAGATAATAAATTAAACTTAAGCAAAATATATAGATAGCATGTAGCTATTAGTACTGTTATCAGATAAGTATAAAATCTGTAAGATAGACTTATCTTCTCCATGGAACTGTCAACTGTTGAGCGAGGACCATTGGACCGAAATGGTGGATACCTGAGACGTCCTCGGTGGTGATATCTCTCAGATAGTGGTTGGCAAACACCATATCGGATCTCCAGAAACATCCCTCCATTATGGTATTCAACGAGCAATTCCCATGTAGAGCGAGAGTTGAGGCTAGCGCTCTAATTTCGTGAGGATTAGAAGCTCTTGGGGGTCGAGTCCTGCAGCCTTGTAGGCACGTAGTATGACAGTTCTGATCCAGATAGAGATAGTAGTACGTGAGACTTCTGTCTGCGTAGCTGTAGATATAGGGATAAATAATCTCTTGAATTTCCACCGTGTTCTCTCGTAATCCAGTGCGTGAATCTCTGACATCATGGCGGCCGTAGCTAGTGCTAACAGGAACAAGGTTTTGTGGGTCAGTGATTCAAACGATGTAGATAGCAATGGTTCATAAGCCTCACTAGTGAGGTGTTGGAGCACTATATTTAGATTCCAGGCTGGAGCGTGAAACTTCCGTTTCTGATCCTCCAATCGGAACGCTCGTAACAAAGCGAGTAACTCTGGTGTTTTTGTTAACTTGACGCCCGTTCTCATAGTTATGACAGAACTTATAGCTGCAAGATAAGTGGACAAGGTTGAGCCTTTTAGATTCTTAGTTTGACGTAGATAACATAAGAAATCTGCCACTTGAGGATGTGTAGCATATCTGGCTGTAAATCCTTTCTTAGCAGCGTAATTGACAAAACTGTGCCATTTGTCATCGTATAAGTTACGAGTTGAGTTACGTAGTGCAAGCGTGACCGCTTTAGCCGCTCTGGCAGAATAACCTCTCTTATTCAGACATGCCTTGATACAATCCATACGTGAAGTTGGAATGCTTCTGGTGTTTCGTGCACTTGTTTGGTGTGCGGATGTATCAATAGATTGGCGCGTTGTGGGAGCTGAAGAATTGGTTTTCCGATTTCTTGAATGAGATCTGGAAACCAAGTTCTTGCTGGCCAGTAGGGCGCGACCAAAATCAGATGGAGGCTCTGCGTTTGACTGATTTTCTGTAAGACTTGTGGGATTAACGCTGGAGGCGGGAAAGCGTACGCGTTGAGTCCCTCCCACGATATGCTTAGTGCGTCCGTTGCCCATGCTAGTGGGTCTGGAACTGGCGATACGAATGTTGTCAGTTGCTTGTTGAATCGAGTGGCGAATAGGTCTATTAGAGGAGATCCTATTTCCATGATTATTTGATTGAATATCTCTGTGTGGAGCATCCATTCTGTCGGCGACGGTTGGTGTGGCGGAGAGAGAGCGTCTGCTTTTACATTCTTTGCTCCTGGAATGTGGCAAGCTCTGACGTGTATGTTTAGATTGTCGATTAGATCGAACAGTCTGAAACATCGAGTCAGTAGGTTCTGTGACCTTGTTGAACCTTGTTTGTTCACATAAAACGCCACTGTTGAATTGTCTGTGTGAACCATCAACTGAGCCGCTCTGTAGTAGGTTGCTCCAGTGACTTATATGGCGTTTATGACTGCTTGCATCTCTAGCAGATTTATGTGACATTTGCTCTCTTGATTGCTCCATAGGCCTGACGCTGTCCTGCCGCAAGGTGGGCTCCCCAACCTTGTAGTGACGCCGCCTACGAGAGATGTGTTTTCGATTCGCTCTACTAAGGAGACGCCTCAGCAAACATTCAATCTCTTGGTCCACCAGAGTAGATGTGGTTTGACATAATCTGGTAGACTGAATGGTAGAGGGTCCTCGGAGATGAGCATTGACGAGGACTTGTAATGGACGAATTGAAGCCTGCCTCTGACTGTCAAGTCTTGAGCTGATGTGAGTAGTCCCAATAGGCTCTGCCACTGTCGTGAGTGGTAACGGAGAGAGTAGGGCTTGAGGAATAGGTTGTTGGATCTTGATCCATCTGTCCTCCGACTCGGCAATAACGATTCTTAGCTGTTAGAAATCGTGACACCTAGAAATTGCAGATCCTGTTGGTTCTAGGTCCGACTTGAGTAGATTTACTAACCATCCTAATTGAGTTAGTAGCTTGATTATAAAGTTCAGCTGTAGTCTGAGACGCTGTGGATCTGGATCCACTTGTATACCGTAAAGCGCTGCGAAGACCTTGACGATGTAGGTATGAGACAATAGGCTTGGTCACTCTTGTGAATACCCAAGGGGTCGATGTGTTTTCTCAAGGGAAGAACCTTCCATTGGTAATGTTTCCCGCCTAGGATAAATCTTAGATATTTCCTTGAGTTGGGATGAATCGGAATGTGTAGATATGCGCCTTGCAAATCTATGCTGGCCATGTAATCTGTGGGACCTTAATTAAATGCCGGTTGCGTGTAAGTGTATCATGCTAAACGCTGGTGGTTTGCATAGATATTCTCTGTTGCAGATGCTCATGTTGTATATGAGACCTAAACTTCTCCTTGGAATTTTTCTTCGGCACTAGGAAAACTAGTAGAAACCCTGTTTGTTTAGCAGAGTAGCTACTGCTCTTTAATACAGGTAGCTTTGATCCAGAACTTCTAAGGCCTGTTTGTTTAGCAGAGTAGCTACTGTTTCTCTTAACATAGGTAGTTGAGCCGGTTGAACGTTGAACCCTGTGGGGGGTGACTGTTAACGGAGGCTTGGCCTTGAGTTGTATTAGATATCTGTGCTGTAGGATGTTGGATACATATGGATCTTGTAGTATTCCCCAGTTTTCCCAGTGCAGCTGAAGGCGTCCACCCACTTGAGAAGGTTGTACTGGAACGGCTGGGGGTGGAAGACTCCAGTCGTTCCGAACCTGAATTTCATCGTCTAAATCCACGGCCACCTCTGGATGATCTGCCTCTAGCTGATCCTCCCCTAAATTTGCTGTATGGGCGACGATAAGAATCTTTGGGATCTTTAGCTGCAGCTAATTTCTTGTCCCGTGCTTTCTGTAGCCCCGAAAACTTAGACTTGCCCGAGTATCTCTGTGCTGACTGTTTAATGACGTTCGCTAAGGTATCCATGGATCTGATCATAAGTACCTCTCTCGAGTCTTTAGATACTTCTTTGGAGACCTTGTCTATGTTGCCACCAAACAGTAAGGGCGATGACCATGGAGCTGTGTATAGAGATTCTGTGAATTGCTTATCCCAAGAGCAGGAGGCTAGTAAGCCTTGCCCGCCGAGCCATGGTAGTAGTTTCAGTAAGCGCTGACAGGTGCTCTGTAAGAAATTGGTGGTCTCTTTTCTGCATGAGTAGAGCTGAGTAGATCATTCTATCTTCCTCCTCTGTAGAATTCTTGAACTTGGTGATGAGAGTTTCATTAATAGTTCTAGATCTATTCAATCCAAAGAACATTCTCCTGGAGATGGTATCTAATTGGGCCAATTTTGCATCGTCTAATCTGTAACTTCTGGACTTGGCATCACTGATTAATTTAAAGTTGTCATCAATATCCTGGGCCATGAAAAAGGGGTCCATATTGTGTCCAGCAAATCTCTTGGCATTGAAGACCGGGAAATGTGTAGATTGGACTTTCGAAGATTTGGAACAGGCTGTATCCAGATTAGCTGGTACCGCTGCAATCGGGTCAATAGGAGGTAAGGTGATATTGTCTACATCATCATCCTTCATCAGGTAAGTCTGAGTTGAATTTTCGTTCTTCGATGGGGAAGCAAGTTGTAACTCATTCACCATCCAGTATCTAATCTAAGCATCTGAGAAAATGATACCTTCTTCCTCTTCTGACGTAGGGTCGCATGTCGGAGTCCTAGATCTGTAGGAAGATCTATGAGAGGACTGTGGTGAACGGACTGACGAGTGGCTAGTGTAAGGAGACCTTGGAGGAGACATCCTCGGCGAACGCTGGGGACTTCGCGAAGCTCTTCTAGATCTTCTGGGCGAGGTAGATTTGAGCCACTTAGCCTTCGCGACCTTCGCTCGAATGTATCGAAGTCAGTGTCCCAATCGACATATGAGCTTTGCTTCGCGAATCCACCTCTGTGTTCTACAGGGTGTGGGCTCGGCTAAGTGCGCCTTCTCCGCCGATGTCCTCGCAACTGGAGAGGCTCTAGCTCTTGCTGAGAGGCTGCCTGGGACTTCCTTTGCTAAGTGATCGCTACGGGCTGGGTTGTTCTTCGCGGAGGCTGGGGCTTGTGGGCTCTGGGGCCCTACGCTGGCCAAGGGCGGGCTCTGTGGCCCTGTATGACTTATTATGGGTTGGGCTCTGGGGCCCGTGGCTCTGGGGGCCTCTGTAAACCATAACGGTCCTCCATCAGTCAATGATTTGGTTGACCAGGTCGCCTGGGGACGGTCTCGCGCTGGACGCTGAGGGTGGCCTCTGTGAAAGTGGACGGACCCTCAATCATAAACTCCAGGCGTCAGCGAGGCATCTCTGGTTGTGTGTTGATCTGTGCTGTAGTGACGGGTAGCAGATACTGGACGCTTCTTATGACGTACATCTGGAATGATAATCGGAATGTCATCATCATATAAACATAATTCTGAGACAGGTAGAATATCGGAGGCAAAATTATTTGTAGCTTTGTAGATTTCCCTTTGACGGCTGTGGACCTGGGGGTTTGAAGCGACGCGTTGAGATGATGTGGACGCTTTCTTAGTCTTAGACTGTGAAGACGGAATGTCTTGAGATGCAGGTCGCTTGATATAGCGGACTGGGCGCCCGACGCATTTATCCCCCGAGGGAAAACTCAGGCAGGCCACCAGCCGGGTGGCGGGTTGCCAGTCAACAGTTGATAGGGTATATTAGCTTCCGATCTATTAGCCATGACTGAAGATTGTTTTGCGAGATTTATCTGCCTTCCGCCTCAAAAACGGAACATAAATATTTATCAAAGGCAGAATTTGGCAAATTAATACATAATTTTTACAACGAGAAACAATAGAACATGGAGTAATGCAACTAGGGCATTTTAAATGTGGATCGGTAAAGGAATAACGTGAAGTTTACAACCTGTGCAGATTCTCATTAACGTAAACTGCTGAACAAACACGCGAACCGCAGGAATAAAACAGCAGAAACACACTAATAATCAATGCAAGTTGAATTAGGATACTAGTTACACCTCTATAACTGAATATAAGAGGTACTAAACTAAATATAAATAAAGGATATAGTGTGTCGGGAGACACAGGCGCTCTCACGTCCAGCTCACTGGGTGAAGAAGGAGAGAGTGAGGCACATGGGTTGAGGTGGCGCCCTCGTTCCCGCGCTTGTGGAAGGGAGGTAACTCGTGGTGAGTACTAATTAGTGATTTTTTATTGAAGGGAACTTCAATTGGGAGATACATGTGTTCCACTATGTTCGCAAGAAGAAGAAGACAAGCAATAAGCATGAGTCAGGATAAGGAAAAATTATTACTCATATCAAGGTCATACTATTCATGTTATATATTTATGCTATAACAAGGTGGTTGCAATCCATGAAGGTATGGGTTAGAATTGGTCTTCAGTATCCCATGCTTGAGGTGACTAACAGGATCGGGTGGTCAGACTTGATGACTTTTTCCACATAATCGTACCCCAGTTGCATAGATCGATGGTGTTGCTGTTGATCACTGGTTTGTCTGGTCCAGACTCGACTATTTACAGACACTGCTGAGTGCTGCGACAAACAACAAATAAACAAATCCTGACCCGTGTAGTCACCTCCCCCTACAGGTCCAGGATAGGCTACAGGTGAAACAGGTCAACACACACATCTCATGACCTTACTCACACCTACCTGTTTTTTCTCAGGAGCAGCATCCGATTCCAGACTTTTCCGTTTTCTTGTTTTCTTCTCTTGCTCCTTCTTCTCCTTGTTTTCCTGCCTGTAAGAGTGAGTGAGTGAGTGAGTTTGTGTGTTTAGTCCATTCTACAAGGTTTTCATTTACAGGTAATTGCCAGCAATTTACTGTAATTACCTATGTTCCAGGAAAATTTACCATACTGGTATAAACTTTTGAATGTATTGGATGTTTAAGGTGCTGCATGCATGTGAACTGGTACAGATATAAGTGAACGGAAACTTTGTGTTACCTTGAATGGTTATAGTGGGTAAGAACCAAATGTGTGGCAGGAGGTTCGATATGAAACATGGTGCTTGCCATCATGAGAGACAGAGACATTGAGAGAGAGAGAGAGAGAGAGAGAGAGAGAGAGAGAGAGAGAGAGAGAGAGAGAGAGAGAGAGAGAGAGAGAGAGAGAGAGAGAGAGAGAGAGAGAGAGAGAGAGAGAGAGAGAGAGAGAGAGAGAGAAGGGGGAAATGAGTGTCTGAGTGAGACCAATTCTGACTTTATTAATATCTAAAAAGAACTCAAGCGTACACTCACCTTTTGGCCAATTGCTGTTTAGCTAAAGATATCTCTGCAGATCTCACTGCTGGGAAGAAAGAGGCATCGACCTGACCAGCAGTTCCAGGCTTGGAGTACACAGCCTTTGGCCTCACAGTTGTCGAAGATAGATCAGCACCGAAGTTTGGCAAGTCTGCTTGAGGCCGAGCTAGCCGTGCTACCCGTCTATGCGTCCCTGAAGTCATGGAAGACACTGCTTCATCCAATGGCGTTATTTTGGTAAACCTGGCACCATCAGGAGTAGGTGGGGTCTCAGGTCTATTTTTGGTTTTCCTTAAAGTCTTTCTTTTTGATTTTCCTATTTTAACAGGAGGGGGGTCGTCCAGAAGCCCTGTTGGGGATGGAGGTAGCGGTGAAACAGGATCCCGAATACGCAGAAAGTTCATTGGCGATGGTGGAGGTGTTGCGGTGGATACAGACGCCAAAGAGAACTCACTTCGTAGTAAGGCACTAATGGAGGAAAAACTTCCCTGCGTAAGCGCAACAATTTCAGGGGAGGCGACTCTTTCAGGAGTCTGTGAACCAGGCCCTGTCATGATGGACTTGGGCTCCTTCACGTCCTCAGCAAATGTGTCCTCATCCAGTTCCTGCAGTTCTGGGATCAGACTCAAGGCATCCAGGAGACCAGGACCTTCTGTGGAGATGGTGGTCTCAGTATTGCTGACGGTAAAACCAAATGAATTTTGGGACTCAACACGTTTCCTCTTGCTTCCATCATCAGAATCTTCCTCAGAATCAAACATCTGGTCAGTATCTTGGGTCTTTTCACACCGATCTCTTGTGTCAACTTCTTCCTGTACACTCTCCTGACTGACAACCGACACCTCTTTCAAAGTCACAGATTCTTCATTTTGGTCCATTTGCTCAACATTATGTCCAACGTCAGATGAAATTTCTCCTTGTTCAACTTTTCCTTTAGCAGTTTCCTCAACCTGTTTGTTCATAACAACAGAATCATCTTCAGCATTCACTTCCTCTTGAGATGCCTTCATCATAGTGTCCCCACTTTTTTCTGCCACTCCAGCTTCTTTAACCTGCTCCATCCCAACTTTCCCAACTCGTTCTTGTTTCTTCGTCTTTCAGTCCCTTCCTAAAACTGTCAAGTTCTTTTGATTCCTTCTTGGTCTTCTTCTCTGCAGTTGAAGGGTCCTCCTCATCTACTGTCTTAGCCTCCTCCTGATCAAAACTCATCTGCCTCTTCATGTTGGCTCTCTTCAACTGATTTGCCCTGGTGGTTCTCCTGGTGTCCTCAGTGCCAGCACACTCAGGCTGAGGTACCTGCTCATCACTAGCGCTCACCCTCTGCAGCTTCCTCCGAGTCTTCCTGTGGATGCCCTGACCTTCACCATCCTTGTACCTTTTGTTGTCCTCACTGGCCACATCTGCTTTGCTGGCCTCATTGTCCTTGCTGATAACACCCTTTAACAGGGTAACATCCTTGTCCTTTGTAACATCAACAGTCATATCCTTGATGATGACACCCTTATCATTTGTCACATCCTGATGTTCACTCATTACATCCTCTTCTGCTGTCATACCCTTGACCTTGGTCAGATTCCTGTCCTTGAAGATGAAAGTACCCTCCTTGGCCACGTTGTTACCTACTTCCTCACCCACATCTTTGCTAGTGACATCCTTAGTCACATCCTTGTCCTTATTCACATCCTTGTCCTTAGTCAGATCTTTGTCTTTGCTAGTCACATCCTTGTCTTCAGCTAAATGTTTTTCCTTGCTAGTCACAGCATTCTCTTTAATTAAATCTTTATCCCTGCTTGTCAAATCTGTCTCTTTAGTTAAATGTATGTCCTTTGTCATCCCGTCCTTGTCCCTGATCACACCCGTGGCTACTTCCTCCACTACATCACTCACATCATTGTCCTTGGACATATCTTTGACCTCACTAGTCATTCCCAAGGCTACATCTTTGATCACATCCTTTGCCTTGCATATCACACCCTTGGGTACATCCTTGGCTACACTTTGGCTGGTCACATCCTTACCATTGGATACAGCACTTTTGACAATGCTGGTTTCAATGTTGTTCTTGCTGGCTACACCTGTCCTTAGTAACCTTTTACTTCTGACACTTTGTCCTTCATCCTTTTCAGGTTTTGGTGATGTCTGACCAGTAATGGCTGACGGAGCTTGACCTTTGTCTTGGACCTTTCCAATCACTATATGGACATTTTCATTCATTTCTAGATGCCCCTTGTCTGTATCATTTGAGACTGAGGCAGTATCAGGAGACAGTTGCCTCTCCTCTGCCTCTTGTGTAACCTCCTCTTGCAGAGTAGAATCTGACCCTGGGGCTGGGTGCAACCCTGTTTCTGACGTGACCAATGTCTCAGGTTTTTCAATACTGGACGATTCTGACCCACATATACTTTCCTTTACAGAGTTTTCCTGTTCTGTTGCTACAACCTCAACAGCCCTGCTAGAGTTCATTGTTGGTGGTCGATGTACAACACCATCCATATCACTGCTTGTGTGCACCCTTGAGCTGTCTGGGGCAGTGGGCAGAAACTGGGTAATGACTGGTTCCTTCACAGATGTTGACTGAATTGAGTCTGTCTGTGGAGCAGATTCAGTCCTAATGTCTTTAGCACACTTATCCTGATCTTTCTCTTCCACATCAGCACTGTTTGAGATCACAGATTCAGAAGAAACACATTCCGGTCTTGACAGAATTGTCTTAGCACTATTATGTTTTGGGGAGTTTGTCTTCACAGAGACATTGTCTTTGTCCACCTTTTCTTCAACATTTGTCACACCTGATACATATTTCAATGGACTTTTTGTGCTACCTTTGTGGTCTTTGTCCTGAGGAAGATCTAGAGATTTCACAGATTTAACCGGACTACTAAAAACACTGTCTGAAGCTGATGACTGTAGGTTGTCCTGATATACCACCACTTTGATTGTGTCCATGTCACTGTCTGTCACAGAACCTGATATTCCAACACTGCACGCTCCTTCCATTTCAGAAGCAGACGACATATCTGGTCCAGCCAGAGTTGTCTTTCCTTTACTTTTAACATCATCAGATGTATTCCCAGAATCAGTTCCAGACTTCCTCTTCAAAACACTGAGCCTATCTTTTTCCAAGTTTGTTAAATATTTCTTTTTCTCATGTGCAGATTTCAGTTTTTCTACAATCAAATCTGTTTTTCGTTGAGCTTCTGCCTTTTTGACAACCTCTAGAGGCTCACTGTCTTCAGATTGTTTGGCCTCACTGCCAGATTTGTCTGACACACTCCTAGTAATGCGCCTTCTTTCCAAAATTATGTCTGCAAAGTCCTTTTCTGTCTCCAAGGGCTGGTAACGATGTCTCGAAAGTCGAACTTGTCGCTTTGGTGTGAAACGGCCAGGTCTTGAACCCATTTCTCCCTTTGATTGAGAATTCTTTTTATCTTCTTCTAACAATGCATTCGACTCAGGTGCTGCAGTAACACCCTCTGCTTCATCATCTCTTGACTTAGAGCAAGAACCTGGCGGTACTCTATCTGAGGGGAAAGTACCTCTTGAAGCATTATTTTGGCTCTGTTGAGAACTTGGCTTTGAATTTTTATCTTGAAAGATCTTACCAGATTTTCCTCGTTCTCTTTTAGCAGAAGTTAAAGATTTAGTTTCCATGACCAAATCCATTCTGTCCATATTATGTTCAGAGAGAAAGGATTTGCTTGCATTATTCACAGATGGAATATCATCAAGTATCTTATCAGCTTTCTTGGGCTGTATGCTCTCACTCCCATCACTGTCTGATTCAGTAGAAATAAATTCTTTAGATGTGAAAACTTTCTGTTGGTTCCTGGTAGCCTTGTAAGAGGTCTTCTTCCCACTGCCCCTGAGTTTGGTGTTGAATGTTTTCCTCAGTTTCCTCGCAGGTGGTCCTGGTACAGATCCTTTAGTGTGATCTACCTCAGAGTCAGAGGATGACAAGGATACAACAGCCTTGACTGCCACTTTCTCCTGCGTAGACGTCCTGGTTCCAGGTGAAGTCTGGACTGTGTCAGACTCAGCCTCCAACCCTGGTGAAGAATCTGACCCAAGGTGACCTCCAGAATCTTTAGCATTTGTGCTCTCATCCTCATCAGTCTCAGATTCTGAGGATGTGTCAATCACAGGTATCTTTGGACTCTTCCCCTTCTGTGTGCTCTGTTTTCTCTTCTTCTGGTTTTCTTCCTCTAAAGAAGTATCACATGAATCAGAAGACATTACCTGTTTGTGAAAATCAGATTTTGAAGAAAACATATTCTTTGATGGTAATGACACTGCTTTTGCCTTTTTGATGAAATTTGAACCACTGCTGCCTGTCTTTTGAGTTTTTTGCTATGAAATTTGAACCACTGCTGCCTGTCATTGTTCCTGGAGTTGATTTCGGTTTGGAACATTTCACTGGTGTTCTCAAAGACCCAGAACTATCACTGACAGATTCTGATGTAACTGTTTTAGAACTGGACACTGATCCTTTCAAAGTTTCATCCAGATTGTGCTTATTGTGACCTTTCTCTGAAAAAATATCACTTTCAGAAGATGAATGCTTCTTTTCAGCAGCCTGGTTGGATGTTTTCAGAGAGTCAGGGCTGGAGTCTATCTTGATGTCCATTCCTGATGTGTCGCCTGTATTACCTGCAGCCTTCACAGTTTCCGAACACTCCACAGTATCTGATCCACCCTCAACAATTGTCCTGTCTGCTTCCTCCGTGTCTATTTGTCCTGAATCCATGGCCTCCATGTCCATCACATCATCAGTGATGGATGATTTCATCCCAAGCACAATATCACTCTCTGTTTGTTCTTTTGCAAATGCAGGACCCTGTTTCAGTTCTGGGGTAGCACATTTTGCATTTTCATGTCCCTTTGCATCAGACTTTCCAATATTATTCAATGTTTCAGAATTTTGCACTTTAATGTCAAGAACCAGCTTTAATTCCTCTTCTTTTGCAGCCTTCTTTTTCACAAATGGATCTTTTTTCTGTTTCACAGAACCTGTTTGACTGACTTTACTATCGGATGAATCTGAAGAAATGTCTCTTGACCTTGACCTTAGAACTCTCACAGGACTTTCTGCATCTTTATGATGCAACATTTCAACTGATTGTGACCGTAATGATTTCTTCAACTGTAAACTGTCAGTACTGCTAAGTGTTTCTGACCTTGACCTTGGTGACTTTCTTACTGTTGAACTTTCAAGATCTGACAAATCTGATGGTAAGCTTGTTGTTCGTGTGCGAGTCTGTTTCTTTGGTGACTGCTCAGCTCCAGTTTTTGGCGAAGTTGGCTGCATTTTCTTTGACTTTGGAGGTGTAGGTGTTAAGAAACCATCTTCCATCTTCGCCATGGCAGACTTTGGTCGAGGAGCCAAATGTTCATTCTGCTTTGTCTTTTCGTCAGCTGGCTGACTCATAGATCTTGTAACTCGATCAGTCTGACTGCTCACTTCACTCCTCACATGCTCATCAGATTTTGATAATGTTCCTGAAACCCTTTTTGGCGTCATTGGTCTGTTTTGTAGATTTCCAGTTACATTTTCTTTTTCATCTGTACTACAAGACTTAGCTGAGGACAATGGACTCCTTGTACCAGTGCGAGGTCTGCGAGAGGGCTCAGCTGCAGGGACGCCTTGGTGTTCCTGGGTCTCAGTTTCAGCATCACAGATTCTTCCTGCTCCTCATCAACAGACATTGTACGCTGAGCTACCTCTTTTAGCCTCTTCATGTCTTCGATCAAGTTCTGCACTGGAAACGGAGAAGAACCTTTCCTGTTTCCATCATAAACTGTCCCCTCCTCCACCTCCTCGTCGGAATCTGAAATAGCTGGCAGACTGGTCTCCAGATCATATCCTTCAGATTCACCGAAGTCTAGCCTATTCTGTAGCCTGGAACTAGGCTCAATGGCCGTCTTATCAGCTCCTTTATCTTGCTGTTCAGCTTTACTCTCTTGTAGCTTCTGCGTCTTGACTCTATTTGTCCTGAAGCTTTCAGCTGGTTCATCAGAAGAGGAAACAAGGGCCCTATCTTTTCCTCTATTTAATCTTGGAGATCGCCGCAGAGATTTTGCTTTGGAAGCAGTTAAATCTTCAAGAAGTTGAGACTGAAGGCTTTCAGCCATGATGTCCATCGAATCCTCATTCTCATATGCTATTGACGAGGAGGGGGTTGCTGAGGAACTTGCCTTCATTTGCTGAAAGAAAAATAAAACATGTGACACTTTGATGAGCTTTTACTTTTCAAAATAAAAACAATGACGCCATTAAGGTGTATGCTTTTGGAACAAAGTTCAATTTGATTAATGCACCATCTCGTGTAACAGTTGCTTTTATTGTCTCTCATTCAGGTGATGCAAATGCCTGTGTGTAAAATTATTGTCTAAATATCAGGAACTAAACACATGGATTAAAACTGCTGACCAGTAATCCCCAATTCAAAAGCTACTGTGAATAGTAGGAACTACTTACTGAGTTTGCTGTTACTTTCTATTGTTTGTCATGCTAGGGTGAAGGCCGTGCAAAGAAATTATCAATTTTCAGGTTTGGGTTTTAATAAATGCTCTCAAAATCAAACTCATAGGACAACCCATTCAGTTTCGATATAAATACACAGGTGTTTATTTATGTTTGAAATAGCCAACTGAAGAGATGGCAGGTTTTTCTCTGAATGAATTTTGTACATATAATATGTCGAAGGCTGTAGAAGCTGACTACCTTGGCCGGCACTGGTGACGGTGGCAGCGGGGACACTGGTGCACAGATTGGGCTGAACGTGAAGCGGAAATCTATGGATGGGTAGTCATCATCTTCTGTATCATCATCAACGTCTCCACCACCAACATCCATGAAGTCAACATCATCATCCACTGCATTATCTCCATGTACGTCATTGTCGTTGTTATCTGATTGATCAGCTTCTTCCAGATGGTAACAGACTTCACCAATCAGGGATCCTGGAGATTAGACATTAGACTGTTTATTGGAATGCAGTCGTATAGCTGATTGTAACCCATGACAGAAGACTTAAGGGACAAATATACAAAACTGGTAGGTGGGCAAAGATGGTATCTTTTGCCTTCACATACCCATATAGCTCCTAACATGCTTGAATCTGCAACATCCTCTATAACCTCCATCCCATTTCCTCCCCCCCCCACCATCTGTTTCCTCCCCAGCCTTCTTCATGTATATATATATTTCTAAACGTTCTCCCACCCCAAACACACACATATACCCACCCACCCCACCTACTGGTTTCCTCCATTTGCAATGTCCCCTGCTCTTCAATAGACCCTACCCCATCCCCAATCACAACCCTACCTACCTGTATCTCCATCTGCAATGTCCCCTGCTCTTCATACAGACCCCTACCCCATCCCAACCCACAACCCTACTCTACCTGTATCTCCATCTGCAATGTCCCCTGCTCTTCATACAGACCCCTACCCCATCCCCACCCCAATCCCACCCCCTACCTACCTGTATCTCTATCTGCAATGTCCCCTGCTCTTCATACAGACCCTACCCCATCCCATCCTAATCCACCCTACCTACCTGTATCTCCATCTGCAATGTCCCCTGCTCTTCATACAGACCCCTACCCCATCCCCTACCCCATCCCTGTATCTCCATCCTATGTCCCCTGCTACCTGTATCTCCTACCTCTGCAATGCAATGTCCCCTGCTCTTCATACAGACCCCCCTCCCATCCCATTCTCCCCATCACACTCTACCTATCTACCTGCAATCTGCATCTGCAATGTCCCCTGCATCTTCATACTCTACAGTATCTCCATCCCTATGTCCCCATCCCCCTACCCCATCCCAACCCTACCTACCTGTATCTCCATCTGCAATGTCCCCTGCTCTTCATACAGACAGATCCCAGTCACACCCCTACCTACCCTCCATCTGCAATCCCACTCTTCATACAGACCCCTACCCCAACCCTACTCTACCTGTATCTCCATCTGCAATGTCCCCTGCTCTTTTCATACAGACCCCTACCCCATCCCTCCCAATCACAACCCTACCTACCTGTATCTCTATCTGCAATGTCCCCTGCTCTTCATACAGACCCCTACCCCATCATCCCTAATCCTACCCTACCTACCTGTATCTCTATCTGCAATGTCCCCTGCTCTTCATACAGACCCCCTACCCCATCCCCACCCCACCCCTACCTACCTGTATCTCCATCTGCAATGTCCCCTGCTCTTCATATACAGACCCTACCCCATCCCTCATCCTACTCCTCTCTGCAATGTCCCCTGCTCTTCATACAGACTGTATCTCCATCTGCAATGTCCCCTGCTCTTCATTCATACAGACCCCTATCCCATCTGCAATCCCCACCCTACCCATCCCCACCCTCACTGTATCTCTATCTCTGCAATGTCCCCTGCTCCCTCATAACCCAGATCCCCCTACTCTACCCCATCCCATGTCCCCAATCACAACCCTCATCCCCACCCTACCTGTATCTCCATCTGCAATGTCCCCTGCTCTTCATACAGACCCCTATCCCCTCCCACCCCAATCACAACCCTTCCTACCTGTATCTCCATGTTTCCATTCCTCATACACCCCTGATCCCCTGGCTCCACCCTAGTTCCCATCCCCTAGATCCCATCCCCACCCTAGATCCCCACCCTACCTGTGTATCCTCCACCTCCTCCTCCTGTGAAGTCTCCCACAAGGACTCATCAAGGACCTTGGATTTGTTTGGCTTCCGCTCCCCCTTTGGTAATAAATCTGAAAACGACAAAATAATGTCATCCACAACTGTGAAGTTGCAACTCCTGACAACAATTACAGAAACCATCACAGAAAACACACATGTGGAACGATCTTGCCAACCTTCTCCAAAGAATATTTATCATCCAAAACTGGATTCCACTTCATATATTGCTTGGGGATAAATTTTTATCACATTGCTTTGCAAACCATTGTGATGTCATCAGTTACCATGACATCACAATCAAATGACATCACAAATCTCTCAACCACTCAACTGTGCTGTGCTATTTACATTGAAGACACTGCTAGTAGTGCTTACAAATAAGAAAGGTTGGAAGAAGGATTTGGACAATAAATTCCCGAGTGTCTTCCAATACACAATATATCCCAATATTTAAGAAAACAGCTTCTTCTCTTTCAATGTCATAGTGTATGAAACACATTTTGCCCTGAACTATTATAGCGCCTCTGCTTTAACTATAATAGTTCAGGGCAAAGTGTGTTTTATTACACTATACATGGTGGTAGGGCTTAACTGTATTTCTTTCTAAGATGCCAAATTTAATACTTTCTAAAGATAATTACGACATTAATTTAAGGCAGAAAACAAAGGACGGTGTCGGTGACCTAAATTAAGAATCCTCGCACAGGGCTAACTGGCGCGCTGTTCTATTGATGTGTCTGCCCCTACGCTAAGACATCTAACGCTACCAGAAAAACAAATGATAACAGTTTGATAACGGTTTACGCTCGATTAAATATCTTCTCTGAATTATTTCAATTACATCTGTCATTAACGAAACCATATGGGGCAATATGAACGTTTGCATTTCTACTACCAGCGTAAGTTTAGATCAGTACATCCAGAGGAAGTTGAGTAGTCAAGTTTACATTCCACGATTGCATTGTGGAATGTAAACATTACTTAACGCTACCGTGTCGCTGAAAACTTGTGAGTCTAAATGACACATTTTAACCGGCCGGAAAACATAAACGTAATGTTTCCACCAGTGATGTTAGCTGCGGAAGCAACAGCAAACCAAGAAACTGGATGCAACGGTGTAGTTTACTGTAGGAGGTCGCATTTAGGCGCATGACAACTGACATGCATCGTGACGTCGCTTACATTGTGACGTAATGTAAAATGGTTCGATTACGAGGGGGCACACTAGAATGGCGCAGTGACGGGATAACGTCATTCAATTGTTATGTCATCAAAAAACTATACCTTTATTGTCTGATAATGTATTTTTTTTTCCATTGTTCTAACCGCTAGGCATCTTAGAAAACTCTATATAACAAACTGACTCAAAGCACACTTACCATTGTCCTTCAGAAGTTTCCAATATTTTTCCAGTTTTGTCTGAAACAAGAACAAATCAAAATCAGTGATTATTCTGTTAGGCATGTAGAGACTCAAACTAATGTAAGCATCAATTCCAAACTCTTCATCTTATGTACAAAACTATTTGTTACTGAAAATAACAATAGTGCACGTTTCTTGCTGGCTGTGATATCTAACACATGAGTAAAAGAAAAACACATTTTGTGATAGCTTAGGATTGAAAGGCTCATTCTGTAAATAAGCTCACAGCATCTTAGATCTCTGATTCCTGAGAAAACATGTGAATGTGTATTGCTAGGCTGATCATTTGCTTTTGGGATGTTAAAGAATATTGCATACAGATAGTGACTTGTATGTGAGTGGGCTGGTGCTTATATAGCTTGTGTAGATGTGCATGCATGTTTGTACGCAAACTGGTGTGGCTGCTTGGATTTGTTCGGACTACTATGGTTTTACAGTGCCAGCCCACCAAGAGGCCATGCCTAAATTTAACGTGGATACCCAACAAAGTACACAGAATGCAGGCCAACCAGCCCCTAATGCAGAGGTCCAGGAAGGGTAACAAAAAGTACCATTTTTTAATGATGTATGGAGAGACGATCTGATGTCTGAGCAGGTTCTCCATCCACTAGACCAGGTACTGACGACCTTCAGCTCTAAATTAGACTGTGGAGGACTGACTGACTGAGTTTGGTTTTACGCCGCTTTTAGCAATATTCCAGCTACATCATGGCGGGGGAACACCAGAAATGGGCTTCACCCATTGTACCCATGTGGGGAATCAAACCCAGGTCTTCGGCCTGACGAGCCACACTTAACCATTAGGCTACCCCACCACCCCCAGACTGTGGAGGAGGTCTGCTTTCTTGAAGAAAACTTTTCATTAGTATCAACATTTATTAAATACAAATCTTTTACTGAATAAAACACTCACCAGTGATTTACTTAGTTTTATTTCCACATCTCTTCCATGTTTTGAAGATCTTGAAAGCTCTGACTTCAAGGATTTTAGCTCATCTGAAACATGAGGTGTACATGTAAAACAAAAAAACCCACAAACAATGTGTGTTTACACACTCAGCTCATATGAACCAGGAGGTGTACATTTAAAACCAGAACACAAACAATGTCTGTTTACATGAAACCAGAGCACCCTCATCTGGAGCCCTGAACCTGAGCCATTGAACTTATTTATCTCGAGACAAACCATAGCTGTCACTACCATTCTGGGTTTGTATGTCCAGAAATCATTCTCAGATTCCAAACAAGTGCGTTTGGAAGGCAATTAGAATTTCTTTTATTTTGATTAAAATTTTCACTTTCTTACAAATTTCAAAACTTCCTAAAGTATTCATCAATAAAATAGAATGATGTTTTGGTAGATATCGTGGACATAATCGATTGAAAAAATAGACATCTGTATATATCAGCATAAAAATAAAAACACTATCTACTTGTGCCATAGATGAGTACCTAAATGACATAAATGGGTTATTGTACAGGAGAAACCTACTGAAATGAAAACTTTTCTAAGTTTATTATGCGTTTATTGAAAAAACTATAACATCCATGCTTGTCAAGTCCTCACTCACATGCTGTCAACATGGGTAGAGGAACAACAATGCCCCGTATCAGTTGTGAAGGTAATATAGAGGGTATATTCTTTCTTTTCGTGGGAAAGAAATTGGGGAAGAATATGATAAATTTGAATCGGTATTGCCAAGAACAGCCCGAGCTGTGGGACTACCTGTGAGTCAAGTCTCAGGTATCATCAATAAACAGGCAATTTTAAAGGTAGTGGAGGACCGTCTCAAAAAGCGAGAGAGGTAGAAAGAAAGTGGTTGACAGTTTTGATAGGGTATAATCAAGTAGCGCAGTTCAAAAGCTTTATAAACGCGATCCCTCCCACTGTCAAACGTATCCAACTTGAAATCAGGGATACTATTTATGTTTCAAGCAGCACTTTAACATGTGTTTTGAAGGACATTGGGTTCCAATATACCAAACAAGGAGAAAATAGACATTTGTTCAGAGAAGACAAGACAATGGTCAATCAGAGATGTGTCTACCTGAGACAGATATCGTGCGAGTACAGAGAACTGGGGTTTGACATTGTGTATACTGATGAAAGCGTGGGTGAACAAAAATCATCCGACAGATAGAATGTGGCTGCCATGTGACATGTCCTCTGCACCTAAGATGCCGTCAGGTAAAGGGAAAAGACTCATCATATTACACGCTTGGTAGGAGAGAGACTGTGGACTGATTCCAGGATGTGATCTTGTTTTCGAGGCTAACAGCAGTGAGGGTGACTATCACAAGGAAATGAATTCCCAAGTCTTCATGGAATGGCTGGAACATCAACTGTTACCAGAGTTACATAACCCAAAGCGTTATTGTTTTAGATAACGCTTCTTACCATAATGTGAAGGTGGAATCAACAGTTGCCCCAACCATGGCCAGCAAAAAGTGTGTGATGTAATCCTGGTTGAAAAATCATGATGTTTCTTTTGATGCCAAAGACACAAAGCCAAAACTTCTTGAACAAATAAAGGTAAAACAAACCTAAACCACAGTACCATACCCGATGCTCTAGCTGGATCTCAGGGACATGTTGTTCTGAGAACTCCAGTGAGACACTGTGAACTCAACCCCATTGAACTAATATGGGCTTAATTGCAAGAACTTTGTGGCGAAAAAGAACAGCACTTTCAAACTGTCAGATGTGAAGCGATTGGTACAAAGCAGCAAGCTTTTGAAAGGATTGACAGTGAAACATGGACAAATGCGAAAACCATGTAATCAAGATTGAAAATGAATACTGTAGGTTGATGGGGTTGCTCAGAGTGCTGTCCAACCAGTGATTGTCCATCTTGATGACAGTATCTCAAACGAAGTTATGAGACAAACCCTCCACTTAAAGCATGTGCATTTAATTCACGTTTTGATTGACAGGACGCTATAGCCTGTTCCATACTGTTTGCTGCATCAGGTATTTTTGCTTCAATGTACAACACATATTTATCGGTAAAGTCCTAATTTTATATGACACAGTAAAGATTTAGAGCCCAATTAAGATAGTTTTTTTATTGTTAAATTTCATATTTCATGAATTCAACTACGAAGATGATAATGTTATTGATTTATTAAAGATAATCATCCATCTAATATTTTGATTTCTACTTTAACTTCAGAAGTAGTTTAAAACTGAATTCAAGGCAATAATAAACAAAACTTCATTAAGCATTTTGAGTCTGTAATGGTCTTATAACAGCATGAATGAAGACATGTTTAATTCCACGTTGGAAATTTATATTGGCGCCTGCTGTAGTTTTAGAACTGAATATCGCCCTCTAAGCAGGTTCGGCCATTTTATTTGCATGAAGTGTAAATCTGTAGTAACAGTCTCACTAGTATAAAACAATCTACTGCAACTTTACAAAGAAAGAAAGAAGTTTTAAACAAAACAAACAAATCCACGAACAACCAAGTTTAGGATTAGCTGATACAAATACATGTACAAGCAATACACAGGATTTTGTTTGGAGCCTAAGCAAGATCCACTGCCACACATGCTGTCCAATGGAGTGCAACAAGTCCACAAGCAGGTAACTGGGTGTTCCAGTGTGGGAGAGTGTTGATGAACTGCCACTGGACGATGACAGAACACATCAGCCTTGACATCAACCTTGACATCAGCCTTGACATCAGCCATGACCAACAAGCACCTGCATATATACATCTTACATTTGTTAGTGTAAGTGGTCTGGGGGTCCAAAAGAACAGGCTTTGGTATAAAAAATGTGAATACAAGCTTATTGTTATTTATCAGTGGCATCAATAATGGCGAGTAGTAAATGAAGAAACACAAAGGATTTCCAGCCATCCAACACACTTCAGCCGTCAAACACCCTTCAGCCATCCAATATTCCTCTAATCTCACCCAACCTGGTACCCACTCACTGCTGAGTGAACAGAGACATTTTTTTACAACCAAGTCACTTGCTGAAGGAGGTTGGTTGGTTGTTTAACGCCGCACAAAGCAATATCACAGCGATATGGAGGAAGTCTGTACAGAACCAAGCCTGGATCAGACAATCCTGTGATTAACAGCATGAACATCAATCTACACAATTGGGATACTATGACATGTGTCAGCCAAGTCTGGCCATCCGATCCCGTTAGTTGCCTCTTACGGGTTACTGGAGACCAATTCTAACCCCAATCTTCACAGGCCTGCTGAAAGAGTGAGTGAGTGAGTTCAGTTTTATGCTGCACTCAGCAATATTCCAGCTATATGGCGGCGGTCTGTAAATAATCAAGTCTGGACCAGACAATCCAGTGATCCACTGCATGAGCATAGATCTGCGCAATTGGGCCTGCTGAAGGAGGCATCACACAGGAGGGACTGAGGCCCAGAACACAGTCATCCATCCAACCAATCTCTGCAACCACCGATGCTTGACCTGACCCATTTCGTGACCTATACCCTGTTTAGAGGACCATGAGCCCTGATAAGCTGGTCTGCCCTGAAACCTGGCCCTTGGTGTGGGTGTATGTGTGTGGTAGAGAGATAATTATTCAAGTTTACTGTGAACATATACACCATCTTCCCAATAAGACAAGCACACACACTTTGAACCTGTCCTAGGGTTAAGTGTACATACTTGGTCTATAGCCTGGCAGGCTGATCGTCATGACCCATAATTCCCTCTGTATAGATGTCTGTCACAGCTCAATAACATCTTTATGGTACAATACTCATCTTAGCCTACTAAACATGCATTGAATTGATAATGTCAAAAGTCTATCCCTGACACGGGTTTGATATTGATTATTGCTGAGTCAGTACGTTGCAAAACGTAAAGAAATGAACTGTTTATTGAGACATTAGCGAGCTGTGGAAGACATTAAAATCTAACATTAAACTTATTTGATTAAAAATTTCAAAGTATTTATCCTTGAGACTCTGAAATCATGATGTTCAAAAATACTTATTTAACAGACTATCAATGACACTGTGGTTGCATACTGGCATCTCATTAGCATATATATTATATTTATAATGGATTTTTGATACCACAAATGGTAATTCATCTCCCGACTTTCTCTACACAAACTATAACCAGCATCTAGTGAGACATGCTTTTGGTTTTCTGTTCTGAAATAATGATTCCAGTCTTTTGACTTCTATGGGGATTTTTTTCTGAGTGAATGGGTGAGTATTTTTTCACAGTATTCCAGCAACAACACGACGGGGGGACATAAAAAATTGGCTTCACGGATTGTACCAATGTGGGGAATTGAACCCAGGTATTCGTCGTGATGAGTGAACACTTTAACCATTTGACTACTCTATCGCCCTCTAAGCTCTGAAATAGTATTGCTTATCACATGGACCTTAGGATACAAATTGTCTCTGGAAACATGTATTCTCAGGCACAACTAAATTCACCTTCATTTTGTTTCCGCTTAAACAAAACCGAAGATTAAACCATACAAATCATACTGAAAAACTTTTTCTACACAGTAAAACCACAGTAGTTGTCCATCTGCTTAAAATATTACAAAATTTTCATGAATACATTTATAATTGGTCTTCAGCAATCAAGCTTTTTTTAAGAGGAGATGGATGGATGACTAAAAGGATCCAGCAGTCCGACTTGCCAACCTGTTTATGCATGCAACTGTATCACAACAACAAGTCAGGTATCAATTATGTCTGATCTCCTACAATGACATTCGGTGGCACTCACAAAGTCATGCTATTGTAATATAATAGAATCAGGTTGTTCTTAATTGTCCTTAATGAGTATAATGTCCAACTTGGGACTTAAGGGATCAAAGCAGCATGTATGGTTTTGTGTTAATTATTTAAAGCTGCACTCAAACCATGAATGAGTGAGTGAGTGAGTGAGTGAGTGGGTGGGTGGGTGGGTGAGTGAGTGAGTGAGTGAGTGAGTGATGAGTGAGTGAGGTTTATGAGGTTTTATAACGCAATATTCAACAATATCAAG